CCAGTAGGCCCGCCCCCAAAAAATGGAGATATAAAGAAAATCATATTTAAATTTTGTCTGAAGTGAAATTTCAAGGCCATCTAGATGCCATAATCACAAATTTTCTTACCTCAGCCTCAACCATGGTGAGTCTCAGGTAGTAGATCCTCTATATGTCAAAGTATCCCCTCCCCCGGGCCCCCTCTAGGCCTATTTCGAATTCCTGGATCATTTCGTTGAGTACAAATTTTCGTTGAGTTTTATTTTCATTCGACTGGTTCGTAAAATAGACTTCGTTAACAACGAAAATTAACGTAACCAGAATGCGTTAATCAGCGTTAAGTTACGCATGTGACCTTACGCATGTGACCAAAACAAACATGACCGATTGGTCAGTTTAGCAACTTTACTTTATTGAAGTCCTTTGCTTTAATCATTGACACGCCGAAGTGCGCGCCGTTGCAGGAACGAACATCGTGCAAGTGGTTAGGGTGATACCGGCATAGTTAGGCCTACAGTATGCTGCATCTGAAAGCTAGAGTCCCGGAATGGAAAGCAAGCAATTACAGTAACAATAAAGATAGATTTTCTTTTGATGAATGACAAATAGCTACATAATTATGTACTGTATACACCATAACTACAAGTTTAAAAATCTCAGTAGTCACCTCTCTCAATATGCCAATTGACAATGGCTGAAGTCACGCCCACACTGAAATCGTTGACGTAATAAGGAAATGAATATTCAGTCGCCGAAAACAGGGTCTGCCAATTCACGAGAAAACCGTTTCCTTGTATGGATGAATAGATTGTTGAAATGGGTGATCGCTGGCATGGAATATTGCTTGTAATAACTCTATTGAATCCATTGTCATGTTGCAATTGTATTGAGCAGTTTGATACTGTTGGCGGCACAGCAACTATCAATAAAAAAAATTATGATCATGAAAACATTTTATCAACGTTATCATTCATTTGTCTGACTATGAATCTTAACTTACTTTTCATGCAGTTGTCATCCATATCAAAGTCTGTGTCACAAATACACTTTTTGCTTGAAGGTGCACATCTACCAGGAAAGCAAGACCTACTATCACTTCTCCACGAACAAAGTTCTATGTAGGGATGGGTACGGTAAGAAATAGTAAAATCAATGCTAAATGCAAACTCAATTACTGTACTTTAGGAGAACAAATCAATTTTAGTCAAAATACTAATAAATTTGCTTTCACGACAGACAATATACTAGTTTTACCTATTAAAAATACAGTTTTGTTAATAAAATTCGTTTAAGGACCCTATTTTATTATCGAAACCAATTATTAAATTGAAGCTAAGTTTAAATCAAATAATAAACACAACATACTTACTTTTGCACCGACCATTAACTAACTCATATGCTTTTACTACGTCATTATTGTGGTAAAGGCATTTTGTGCACATGGAATTCCAAGAATTGGTACAATCTACGACTTCGCAGTTAGCAATATTTGATCTGCATGCTGGAATAAAAAGGGATTTTTTTAAATATTATTATTTAGTTAGTTGATTTTTTGCCATTAAACTATCACTATAATGTGTCTCCCTTTATTAGAAATCTGGTAATCGTTGACCTTTGTGACCAGGTGCTGAAACTATAGCATGCCTTTCTGGCTAAGCATAAATATTAGGAATATATAATTAGCTGATAAGCTGCAACAAGATTTTTCTGCTTTATTTCTTCTTTTTTATTCTTTCCCACGTGTTTTTGTTCGCGGCTTTTCTCAAAAACGGCACAGGTTCTAACCTTGTTACTTAGGCAGCATAAATTTTCAGGTGATTTTTGTGTGACATCACACATCACATCATCTACGCGCCATTTTGTGAAATTCTTTTAATCAGTAATAGCTCCTTAGGATGCACAGTGAGCCCAAATATTATTACATATTCTGAAAGCACATGAGTTGTAGATATGATTTTATTGATGGATGATCAGACATTATGACGTCATCATATTGCCATCGGAATTCAAACAACTGAATTTTTATCTATAACGTCATAATTGTTATAAGCATTTGATCGTATCTCGTTATCCTTGATCGATCGTCTACCTCCTTTCAATATGTTATAGCTGAGACATTTTCTTTCATGATTGTGTCCTTTGTTTTTTCATTTTGATGACGTCATCATGGTCAAAATGAATGTTTTTTTTATGACCACACCCCCCCCCCCTCTTTCATCTTTCTTCAAATCATTGTGACATTCTATGATTAATCATAAATCACCCCACAGGAGGGTGGAAGACTGGTTTACAACACTGAAAGGCACAAGATACTTCATATCAAGAATCGACTTCGTTTGCCTTTACTGTTCGAGCACGCGTCATGACGTGCCGTACGTGTGCGTAAATTTGTAAAATTCTCGAGATCACTTTTTGACTAATTTAAAGCACGTTTCATGTCATTTTGACAATTTTCTCACTGTGGAAAACTGTCAGATCCTGCTTAAAAATACTTAAAATCGCAAACTGTCTCAGTTATTTCCTGAATTGGAGTAGCTCGTGAGGTAACATTAACAGTAAAAATATATCATTAATTTGGGTTTTGGTATGCAATAATAAGTTAGTTGAGTTTCTAAAATAGGTCTAGTAGAATATCCGTATTAAATTTTCAGTTTCTCTAGTTTATTAGGGTTCATTGACTCAAGAAATTCCTTGTAATATTTAATGTTGAATTCGAAGCAGCTTTCTTCGGGTTCTAATCAACCTTGTTGACGATTAGGCGGGTGTCTGAACTCTCCGCAGGCGTGCGTCGTCGTTCCTAGGGTTAAACTAAACACTAACCTAATTCATCGCGGTGCTCGGTATGTTGAATTGGTCTTTTACACACGAACCAAAACAGATGAAGCAAAGCATGCAATACATGAAAAAGTAGTGCACACTTGGGGGATAGGCAAATAACATTGGGAGTTGCAGTGATGTTGACGTCACAATTTACTTATAATACATCTTAAAGACGATGACATGGGTTTAATACAGATTTAGATAGTTGACTTAAGAATGAATTATACTACAGTAAAATGTACATTGCACATAGACTATTGTAACGCTCTGCTTCACGGCTTACAGTGCAAGCAACTTGCCAAACTCTAGCAAATAATTCTGCTTCAAAAATGATTTGCAAAGCTGCTAAAGCGGGAGCACTCACCAGTTTTACATGACTTCTATTGGTTGCCTGCTGTCAGAGAGCGCAGCCAATTAAAAATTCGACTTCTCACAGTGCCTTAAGAGGCACTGAACTTCATTCAACTACTGTACACTCCTAAACAAAAACTTCGATCAGCCGCACAACAGTTGTTGATACAGAAAAGACACGAACTACAGTTCTAGGTTTTTTCTGATGCTGATGTTGCTGCTGCTGCTGTTGCCGATGCTTTTGTTGTTTATTAGTATTATTATTAATATTATTATTATTATTATTATTATTATTATTATTATTATTATTATTATTATTATTATATAGAGCGAATATATAAAAATAAATAATATTTAAAAACGATCAAATTACTATATTTGCATGTTGGTCCATGGTACCCTACGTTACATGTACACACATTAGGGCTTTCGCAGGTTCCGTGAACACATCTGGGTGAACATACAGCTGCAATGAGGAACAAATTAAAAATGAGAAATATGTAGTGAGTTCTTTTATATTCATTTATAGTGTATCTGGAACAAATAGTGAATGTAAAACAAAATATTAAGCTATTCGTTACGTCCGTATACAACCACCAAAAACCTTACGTTCGGTACATTCATCACTGCCAGGGGGCGCTGCATAACCTTGACAACATACGTATCCTCTACTGTAAACAGTTCGATACACACGAGAATACCCATACCATGTTCTATATTTTCACAGAATAAAAACAGAACACAAATATTTACGACATTAAAGAAGTATTTTAACGTTTCTTTAAATCTTCAACCGCTATAACTATTTGTCGTGGCACAGTTTAATGGTGCTTCATCCTACTTTAAAAAGGCTAATTAGCAAGATCCATAATAATTCGCGTGACAGACTGACCTGATTGTAAGATTAAAAGATTACATTATTTTCAATGCTCAATGTGAACTCACAGCAAATTATGACATGAAAAATATATCTGGTATCTTTAAACTAGAATACAATATGTAATTGTTTATTACTTACCTGTAACTTTTACACCTACCCAGCCATAATAATCCACAAGAAGTATAGTAACTTGTCAGGTAGGACACTACAGAGGAGTAGCTTTGGTGTGTACTTATTTGAGTTGAGCATACGTTTTTCCTAGAAAAAAATATAGACCAATTTTAGAAATTTTATGATAGGTAATTTAATATATATATATATATATATATATATATTATTAATATAATATAATTTATATATATATATATATATATTGTACATAAAAAAAATCTTTTCATTTATCATTAAAAAAAAAAAAGAGTTGAACCGACTTTATATTTTTTTTTCAGTAATTCTCATTTACCAGATATGCAATTTATTGGTCTCATGAATTATAAGGATTCTTTTGAAATTGAATACCAGGCAAATTAAAATGGAATTTTACCTGAACTGAATTTCAAATAGTATTTTATAATTTTGCATTTTTAATTATGTTTTCTTTTCTACATTTTTGTCAATTTTTTAAAAAATAATTGCTTCAAACAAGAGTCGGAAATAAACAATAATTTTGGAGAGTTTTTAACCCTAAAAATTAAATGAGACTTATAAGCAATTTCGTTTAATTAACCGTGGCATTACAATCTGGATTTGAACACATAACACTGAGATTTGAATGTAGGCTAAATTAGTGGTAGCCACTGTGTGTGCGCTGATCCGTGGAGATCCTCTAGGTCCCCGGTTCAATTCCCATCGCTGCCCTCCTTGTGTGTTTCAGCTGGAGGGCTGAAATACAAATTATGATAGCGCACCGTCTTTCCGATGAGACGTTTAAGCCGTTGGTCCCGTTTACAATATAGCCCAGGTGTACGTCAAAAAAACCCAGTACATTCTTCTTTAAAAAGTAGGGGATTGTCTCTCGGTTTACTGTCAAATTCACCACCAGAAGGACTCCCACTGGAAGCAAGTCTTCGGACTTCGTATATCCTTGGTGTGGATCACACCGAAATACTCCTATGCTATTATATTACCATGGTACAGCTCCACTATAGAACTAGTCTGTTTTGTATTAATAAATAAAGGATAATAGTCTAACCAATAAACGATTAGAAATATTGTAATTCTATATGAACGTTTTATTGTTGACTAGCAAATTGTTGTCCAGTTCCCCTGAAGTTCGTCTAGTTTTATTACTTTTAATTACTGGATGACTTATATACATTCACTGAATATTGTAAACCGACAAACCCATTTGGATCCAAGCCATGGACTGATTTCAAAATCAGAAGTAAACCGACGAATACAACCAGAACTTGATCTTGAAGCACCGTCATCTATTCCAACAGCAATCCACAATGTACAATCTGTAAACGAAGTATTATAATTGTAAATGCGATATACGGTATAACGCTTTTTTAACTAGAATGATTAAAAAATTCCACGCTAAATTACATGGGTTATACACAACCATAATTACAACTTTAAAGCCGTTTAATTGACTAAGCCCCACAGGCTCATAATTCACAGGTCACCATTCCATGCCAAATGAATACCACAATTACATGTAAACTAATAAATTATATGTAAAAAAAATCTATTGGAATTAATAATAACAATAAAATAAAAATGATAACAATAAAATAAAAGTAAATTTGTTGTCAATATCGAAGTGAAGAGGAAAATGGTTTAAAGAATAATAGTAGCATTAAATCACTAATGGCGAAACAAATATCTTATGGAACTCTATTATACTTTAAAACCTCATTTGCTTTTACTTGGCTCTCCAAGTGCACGAGAAGAGCAATTGAGATCTTTAAGAACAGTTCCACAAGATATTGGTTTCGTCATTAGTGATTTATGGCTACTATCATTATTTAAATCATTTTCATCTTCACTTCACAAATTTATTTTATATACAGTTTATTTATATACATGTAATTGTGGTTTGTATTTGTATTGGCATGGAATAGTGATTGTGAATTATAACCCTGCAGCGCTTAGTCCCTTAAACTGCAGGAGAACGGTTAACCTTGGAAATTGTTGATTACTTTACTTGTTTTCAGATTTACTATTCAAAGTTTAGAACATAGCCGACACAACAAACTAGACCTTTATTATGGAAAGACAACAGTCACAATGGACTTGACTCTGCATGGTTTTCTAACCAAGCACTCTTCTCTTCGTCAGAGCAACCAGTTGCTTATCCCAAAAAACATTGTTATACATGATGTACCGAAAGTTTAATTTTTAGTTTACTATTGATACTCGGCGTGCAAACCTTCAAGAAATATTTCGTTAAGCTCTACGGGGGACAACACACACAAGAAAGTCAAGAAGCTCGAACGTATTTCTATCAAGCAATCCAAGCTCATCCATGACCATGCCTTTTGAAGAGATGCAGGCCCTCCAACATCATTCCCTTTGGTATTAAACTAACCTCGAACATATAGTCCAAACGAGCTGATTCAATGAAGCCGGTATGGTCTTTCTTCGAGAACGCATTAGCAAATCAATATCTATACTAAACTCAACAGAGGAAGAAATCAACAGTATTGAAGACCTTCAATATAAATCCATCCAGCAACATCACTTTGAGGAAAAACAATGAAACATAATTATAAATTGACTATCACAATGCCAAAATATAATAACCCTATAGTTTCATCAAGGTGTGCACCTTTATATCTTTCAAGGTATCTGGCCACCGTACTTTCACTGGTAACACTCAAAACACTTAAAAGAGACCTCCACCTTGAACCTACTGACATTATTGTTAGTTTTGATGTAGAATCACTTCGCGAACGTCACCCGGCATGCACCTTCGCCAAACGTAAGCTGAACTAGATTTAACCTTCCAAGAGAGGAAACCTCTCATAGTCTCCACAATTTACATTGGAGAGACCGATAGAGAGATCAACACCAGACTCAACAACATCAAGGTCATTGAAGACAAGTGAATACCAAAAGTTATCCATCATTTCGTCATTAGTGATATATGGCTATCATTAATTAAATCATCTTCCTTTTCACTTCGATAATTTAAACAGATATAAATTTACATACAATTTATTTGCTTACATGTAATCGTGGTTTCATTGTTATTGGCATAGAATAAGATGCTCCAAAAGGGGTGTTGTGTCGGCTATGTGGTAAACTGTGAACAGTAAGTCTGACAAGTGTGTAGTAAACAGTTAGCAAAGTGTAACCGTTCTCCAGCATTTTAACAATGAAAACCAAAATCACATGTATACTGTACGTAAGTAAAAAAAATATCGTTTGGAATTATCGAGGAGAAAAGGAAGACCAAAACGAAACAAATATCTTGTGGAACTGTATTTTCTCAATTGCTTCCCTTGTGCGTAATGAGTACCAACTAGAGGTAATTGAGATATTCAAGCGTAATACAGTTCTACACGATTTGTTTCGTTATTAGTGATAACAATTATCACTATCAATCTCGGGACTGTCCCACTTAGGTTCAAATTAGTTAAATTTTATGCATAAAATAGGTAATTATTTCTAATGGGCCTACGTTTTAAACTGTTGGTCCACATTATTTACATTTTAGTTATGTAAAAAATTATGTATATAGTTTTAGATTTTATATGTATATATATATATATATATATATATGTGTGTGTGTGTGTGTGTGTGTGTGTGTGGGTGTGTGTGTGTGTGTGTGAGTGTGTGTGTGTGTGTGTATGTATATATAATTGAAGACCAAAACTTTTATATACTTGATGAACAAAAATTAAATATGGGATGTGTCCACATTAGATTTTAGGTGAAAAATCGGTTCCAATTTTAAAGTTGGTTAAATGGGTTCACTTTTCAAAATATGGGTTCACATTTATTGTACGGTATGTGTAAAATGGGTCCCAGTTTTTGAAATGCTCCACATTATTCAGTTTGTATGTGTTCATTTATTAAAAGGTGGGTCCACATTTTTAGTTACATATTAGGTGTACAATGGTTCCCAATTTTTAAAATTGTCAACATTATTAACTTCATACGCATGAAATGGGTCCACATTTTAAAAGGTGGGTCAACATTAGTTATATTTTGGGTGTAAAATTGGTTCCGTTTTTAAAATGGCTACATTATTCAGTTTATATGCATGAAATGTGTTAGTTTTTATTTGTAAAAAGTGCAAAAAAATCGCCCCTAGTACTTGGCTTAGTACCCTCGGTTTCATATATTTGATTTATTTTATATTGAACATTTTCTCTTTAAACTAAGGCTTTTTTTTCACCTCAGGACCGGACATGTGGCTGAAAATGTAGAATTTCCTAATACTCATCCTTCTTCCTACTTTTTATATACAAAAATTAAGACCCTTGAAAACCATTTCTTAGGTCTGCGAGTGCCACTTTCTGACATTCATCGTTGCCAAACCTTTATTTTTTCTTCGACCCCAGCCCCATGGTGGGCCTGAGGTAGTGAATGTGAACTCTCTTAGTACTGTATTTTCCCACTCCCTGATTAAATGTACAGAAATGTTTCGAAAGTTTTCTGCAACCAATAATTAAAATAAAGACCATTACAAACCATTCTAAAATCATTTGCAGACATCCAGGGTTGCTAAACCCTTACATTTATTCTTAATTCAACCCTAACCATGGTAGGGTGGGGTGAATGTGTAATATTACTTGCTTCTCCTCTGATAAACCTTTTCATATTTTATTGCCTCAGCTCCAACCATAGTTTTACTGAGGTGGATGTGGCTTTCCTGATGCTCACCCGTCTCTGCTATTTTTTTTTTTTTTTTTTTTTTTTTGCAAAAAAATATCTGATGCATTATAATTAATATTAAGACCATTTCAAAACGATTTGTAAGTTTGACAGTGTCATTTCAAGGCATCCAGATTTGCAAATCCTTATTTTTCGTTCAATCTCAGCCTCAACCATGATGGACTGAGGTAAAGCTTTATATTTTTTTAGGATGGTCCATCCAGGCAGAGGTTCATCAATCAGGCTATTTTACACTGTTCCGAGATAGTTTAGCACATAATTATGCCATTTTGTTTTCTATTTTTTATTTAAAAACCAGGAAAATAATTTTCTAAGGAGTTTCATCCTAGGGAGGGGTATGCTTGGTCTTGTCTTGTACTTTTCAGTCCTTCTTCCTTTCTCCTGTCACCGGGTATACAATAGTCAATAACACGCGTTAAAATTAATCCGAAATTGATTCAGTACTATGCTCTCTATTTGTTACATAGCATTACCGGAAAGTAAAACAAAATTTAATTGAACACCTTAAAAACTAATCCCCTTGCTGTCTTGTTCACGTTTTTGTCTTTTTTTCCTTTCTTTCTTTTGTGATGTTTGTCGTTAGCTTAAGCTTACTTCAGGGGGAGGCTAATTATTAGCCACTAGTCAAACCACTATGTAGCTCTCTTGCCTCAACAGGTTGTGTACCAAACTTTTGTAAATAAAAAATAAATAAATAAAAATAAATAATACGATTAAGGTACTAATTATTCATGAAATACAAATTTCATTTCTTTAACACAAACGTACTAAGAACGGTAAAATCTAAACGTATTAAATTATATGTTATAAAATACCGTACTCGCGCGAATAAGCGCCCCGTTTGAATAAGCGCCCCTAATAACCCAATCAATCCTGGGATTGTGGATGTTGGCATGATTTGAGGTGTGGAGTGGAATCACATTCTCCTTTCGTCAATATCAAAGTGAGGATATTTATCTTTGACAGAATGATGAGAGCTCCCTGGACAGACAGTATATTTCCAACTTTCATCTTCTTTCATTTGTCTATAGCCTAGTCCTACTACCTTTAACACATTCTCATCTAAGTTTTCAAGAAAACCGGCAATGATCATGCCGTCCTGCTATTCTCAATCGACCGATGGCGAACAAGCTAACCACCACCACTAATTTCATCTGCTATTCTGCTGTTATGTAATACTGTACTCACAACATTCTTGTCATGTCAAGCCATATACTCTCTGGACGATTATCTTTTCCGCCGCAGCACCATTCGTAATTTGCGAATGAATTGCAATTAATGCAATATGAAAAATTATATCAAAATAAACATCTTACTTACAAGTCCAAACTAATCAAGATCTCACGCACCGTCTTGAGCTAATAGTAATACCAAGAAAGCACTGGTGGAAATTATTGGCGCATGTGATCTTATTGACAACGTTAATACGAATGGACGAGCATACAGCATAAACTGTATGTTAAAAATAGGCTCGCGATTTTTTTCTGTACGAAAGGTTAAAGGTTAAAGATTATTCATTTATACCAGTGAATTAAACTTTAAGAGTTTCCACATATGTATGTGGCGGCCGCCAGATAATAAGAAACATAACCTTTGACACATAA